TACCTTTATAAGGAGTTTATCAATTGTTTAAAAATAGTTTATTAATGGTTGGTAATCGGGTCATACACACCTTAAAAACATTAATAAGCAGTTACAACACATAAATAAAGGGGAAACAGTGACTTGTTGTTTAGTATAGTAAATAGTGAACACATTTGTCTATGCTGTGAAAGCTCGGTTGTTGCTGGGTACTGATCTTACGTTGTCTTTTTCATCAGACAGCATTAAACCTGCCAAGTTCATCACATATTCATGTTTATCAGATGTAACAGCTCACTTTTGCCCTTTTTATTAATGTGTTATAACTGTTTATTCATGCTTTTTAAGGTGTTTATGACCTAATTAATAACCGTTAATAAACTAAGTTCAAATAATTCATAAACTATTTATAAGGATAGTCTTATTCTAAAGTGGTACCCAGAAATGTAACATCTGTACAGTTGTGCAAATATCAGTATGTTATAAAGGAGTTAGTGTAAAACAGTAAGGAGGTTCGATGGTTTAGTTTAAGCTTAAAGTGTGAGGAGTCCACTGTGGTAAATGAGCCCTACAGCTCTGGGGAAAAAGCTGTTAGCATGTCTGGTTGTGCTGGCTTTGATGGGCCTGAACCTTCTTCCAGAGGGGAGTGGCTGGAAGTGGTGATGTCCAGGATTAGAGGGGTCAGCTGTAATATTGACGACACACTTTGTCACCCTGCTGTTGTAGATGTCCTGAAGCGCTGGCAGACTACATCCAATGGTCCATTTCACTGTCCTGATTATGCGTTGGAGTTTGGCTCACTCTTGTGAGGTGGAGGAGCCAAACCAGATGGTTATGGATAATGTGAGGATGGACTCAATGAGTGCATTTACAGGCACTCAATAATCCGATCATAATCAGATTTCTGCAGCTATCCGATTATTAAAATGGTTGTGTAAACACTATACTTCAATCTAGAAATCTGATTAAGAAATCTGATAAAGAGAGCTGGATTTTAGCTCAGTGATCAGATTTCTCAGTGCATCTAAATTCTTACTTGAATTTTTTCGGATTTCTCAGTCTGCACATGTGCGGAACAGACCGCTGTACTGGAAATAAGCAACCAGCGTTGCTGCGAGACACAGCAAAACAATTTGGGAACAAAACTAAAACCAAGTACATTCTCAACGAAATGAAGGTTTTAAATATTCTTTACTTTCTAGATGATGTATGTTCATATTTTCAGGTAAAGTGGCGCGATGTGTTTTAAAAAAAAAGCCGCAGCATGAAGTTTTCTTCTTCTGTGAGTTTATTGGCTGGTTGCAAAGCAGAAATCCAATTACTGCCTGACTCATGTAGACCTGGAGTTTTCACAGGATCTGATTACTCAAGTGCATTTAAACGCATTGATTGGATTACTGACAAAATCTGATTTTCTGCAGTTATCGGATTATTAAGTGCATGTAAACGCACTCAGTGATTGATGTGTAGAACTTGAGCATCCGGGCTCTGTGGCAGGTTGAATTTCTTCAGCTGTCTCAGGGAGAAGCACTTTTTTTAGAAAACTGGAAGCAGTGAAAGTGTGTGAGGGAAGGGGAAGAAAGAACAATGTGTCTCAGGAGAAAGTAAGTAAAAAGTAAAAGAAGTGACAGAAAAGGAACCAGCGTGTTTATTTAAGTTGTGTGAGAATCGCAGACACGTAAGAACAGAGTTTGAGCTGAAAGAAAAATGAAATGAACCTCTTTTGGGAGGTGCTTTTGGGCTTTCAATTTCCTGCTTTCTTTAATAGTTTCAGTCGAGAGCCATTATAAGTTGATATAAGTTGAGTTTTCTAAACACGCGGGTGGGAGCAGCTTTGCTGTACAGTGCTTTTAAGAACCTCCCCAGGCATTTGTTAAAATCACTCACCAGACATCATACACAAAACAGGAAGGAGGGAATGTACCAAACCGGGGCTTCGTCTCGCATACATTGATAACGTGTCTGGAATCTTTGGCTGTATTGCTGCTCCTCACTTTCTGACTTCTCCTAGCAGCAAAGACATGGAGAAAAGTTATGGATGTTGGAACAGACAGGTCATGTGCGCAGAAAGCAAATGAGCTGGGGTACAACTGAAGGGCAGTGCTGTGCTCAGACATCTTCCTGAATCTCCAAGATCTCAATGTTTTAGTCCTATTGTTATGAATTATTTATCTGCCCAACGTGTATTTCTACGGCATCGGTTAATTGAATCTTCATATGAAGAACGATTTGATAGGCTGGAGTAAATCTGTGAAATTGTTTTTGAATGTTGAGACAAAAAAGTGGTGATGTTCTCGTAAACAAATGAGGGAAAACAACTTCATCAAATGAAGTGGTCAAAGAAGGAGAAATTAATCATGGAGCAGGAAAGGCCATCAGCTTTGTTTCCGAGCCGAAAACTGATTTGAGCACTGGAGGGACGAGCAAGAGGCCATGAATCCTAAAATCCATACTCCATTGTCTCTTTCTACCTCAGTCGAAAAAACAGTGCTTTATCTTTTGGGCGCTGATATGAAATACATAAATATAACATTGCTGTGGTGGGGTGGTGAGGTGGTGGTGGTAGTGATCACTGTGCAAGTGAGGAAATAAAAAAAGCTGGCTGTAGCTTAATGCATTAGAGAATCAATAGACATGCAGAGCTAAAGCCTCCTGCAACTGCCGTCCATAGATCATTCGAGCATTTTGGCTATTGAGCTTTGTTGTTTTTGGATGCATTGAAGTCAGTGTTTGCAATAATGCCATAAATAAAACTGGGTGAATAATGCACTACATTGTGGGCTGTTATTGACACAAATGTCAATGCGGTATGAAATGAAGTAGTACATCATTTGAAACAAAGGTCTTGGAGGGGAATGTAGTTACTGGGGAATGTGCTACAAAGCGTAGACTATGGAGACACGACTTCCTTACAGAAAATATCAATTCCAGCACCACTGTACATCATCTAGCTGAGTCTTGACAAAAAAAGCCCAACTTCTTCAGACTTCAGAGCCCCTTCAGAGGTGCTTTAACCTCCTCAGTCCCGAGGCTGGACGCTAACAAACAATGTTCTGTTATAAAACATGTTCTCTGCTGCATATCTAATAACATAACACATCATTTTTTTATTTGCTGGGAGAGATATAATATTCAGTGTCTAGTATACTGGACAGTTGGACAAAGCACATACACTGATTTGCATTACCATGAATGGACAAGTGGTTTAGTTTTTAGTCTGATCCTGTCGGTGATAATAAATATGTTCTTTTTTCAAAATCTTGCAGATGTTATATGTCTAATTCCAAAGTCCAGTATACCGGACAGTCAAATAAACTGAAATAAAACAATTTTATCCCCATCATCTACTGTCACTCCTAAATACACAATAGCACACAATACACATTCTACTTTTAATAAAATAAATAAAAAATCTTGATTGTGTTTTGTAATGCAGGTGTCTATTATGCTAATCAAAGCATGGTTTCCTACAGTGAGTCCAAATGTCCAGATTTCCAGACATTAAAATGTCTTAACAAATTGTGCATTTAAAAAATAAAAAAAACATCCATTATTTCCTCTTTATCTTTCACAACAGAGACTTTTTGGAATGACATACATACAAAAACATTTGTGAAATAGCTATAAATGTATATACATGTAATATGTATACATGATAAATTAGAAACTGCGTTTCTGTTGCTCTTGTAGGCAGTCAGCGACCAATGTTTCAAAATTTCTGAATAATTCAGTCCTTGAGATCTAAACAGAGTCATTCGGAGTTAATTTTATGTGAAGTGATTCATTGTAGAGAAACTTACAGGCTCTGATTTCTTTGCAGTGGTGATGACAGAATAGCTTTTTTATTTACTCTCCAAAAGCACCAGTGAACCTACACGTGTCGTCTGAGTTTTATATGTAATGTTAATCATGGTAAAACAGGACTATTTTGCCTTACAATATTCTGCATGTACCCCTTTGCCATGAATTGATTAAAAAATAATTCCAAATACATTTTAAGCCAAAACCTGATCACAAAACTATCATAAAACATTGTGTCAGATCAGGTAACCATTTCTTGTAATACCTTTCTGTGTGGAAGCATTCAGAGGCATTAAACTCTTCAGACGTCTGGTTCCTATCACCACCACTGTAAACAATTTTGACTCGGCAAGTTTCTCTAGACCAGGGCATTTCGCACCAAACCACTCTGAGTGATTTTGTTTACATCTCAACCACTTAATCATGTAGGTTTTTCAGAAAAATCGGTGGAGTTCCCCTTTAATACCTTTGATTTGAGAAGAAAGGTTTAGGAGGTTGATTTTATAGACAAGTGTCTATAAAATTTTGGACATCCCGCGGAGAAGAAAGTGCATTGTGGTGTGGCTAAAAATAGAATAAAAGACTGTGAATCAGATTTTCTTTAATTGAATTTGGGGCGGTGGCGGTACATTAACGATAAAACTGCCAACTTGGCAACGGTTTCCCAGACGCTTATTTTGCAGCCGTTGCTTGGCAATATCGGCGTCCCTAGAGAGGGCGCGAGAATAGAAGCAGAGATGCTCGAGCTCTGATCCAACTAGTGATGGGAAGTTCGATTCAATTTTGCGAACCGAATCTTTCGAACAGCCCCAAACGTCCGATTCTGCGATTCATTGATTCATTGATCAAGCCAACTTTACTCTCATCCCCTCAGTGTTCAATTCAGCAAGTGAATCTCATGTCAACAATACATCGGCACGCTAGAACAACGCGGAGCCGTCCCTCTAAAGCACAGACACAGAGAAAGGACGCCAGCTTTAGTGTAAGGATAGCAAAAGTCAGCGAATCCAGTGTCCTGGGTATGTTACGAAGTGGTATTTTATGAGGTTAATTTTCATAACTTTGTTAACAGCTTTACGGATCTACGACACACAAACATCGCGTAGAAGCTTCACAAAAGTTCGGTTCAATTGGAACCGTGAATCGGTTATGGAAAGGAGCCCAGTTCTAAAGAACCGATTCGTGCGCGAGTCGGACATCGCTAGTTTCAACTTCACAAGTCACCGCTCGGAGGAGAAGAGGCGCCTCAGGATGTTCACACACACGACACGCCGTTAGACAGGCGGTAAAGTTAGACATGGGGGTCGTGAGCGTCGTCGACTCAGACTATTTTTGTTCAAGCAGTCCTGAGGTGTGTTTATTTTGAGCCATGTTCGAGTTTGGGACTCGTATTCGCCTCACTTGCTGAAGCGTATTTGGCGACTCGTTGAATTTACTCGAGGTAAAGTGGGACTCACAAGTAGCTACACGGACTTTCTCAGCCTTATGAAGACAATTGAGGTCAGTTTGTATTTCTTTTTTATATTTCTATATGTATAAAATGTATTTTTGTGAGGTTATTTTTGTGAGGATTTGTGTCCTTGACGGGACTTCTGCTCTGAGGAATCCGAGTGATTTAACTTAGCTCGGTCTTAAAACAAGACAAACGTTGAAGAGGCTAATAACTGATGAAGATAGTTAAACCAGAATGAATACTGATTTACATTAGTGCAATTATTTTAGGTGTCGCTAAACAGCAGTACAACCAATATTGCCTTACAAGCTCAGTAGCTAGCATACAACTTTTCTCATTGTGCTACAATTGTTGTAATAAGTGCAAGCAAACGCGCTATTAAGTGTTTATAACTAGGATCACAATTTGTTAGAATATCCTTAAGCAGGAGAGGCGTTCACTTGTCTGTAAACGCGTTAATTGTGTAGTTTTTGTCTGTAAATGTATGCTTTAGAGTGTACCATGTTTTAGTGTGGACAGTGATAAATAATATGATGAGATAATTTAAAGGTTTTTAATCTGGTCAGAAAAGAAAATAAGACAGTAATACTGCAGAATAGACCCCAGAACGGTGGCTTAACTGGTTATTATGGTTCAGTATACCTTTCAGTCAAGCAGTGCTTAATGATAAGCAGAAAGGCTGCTGCTCTTAGAGGAAGACTTGACTTATTCTCTTTTTCTTTCTTGCACCATGTTTAGACATAAAGTGTCTGAAGTTCTGTCCTGTGTTTAGATCTTTACAATATCACTCCTTCAGAGACGGGAGCGTTACGTAACATTAATTCACTGTCTTATGGGGAGAGACAAAAGGCACGTTTCCTCACTTCCTCCCTCCGCCTGTCAGTGATTTGAGAGATCTTCTCTCAGATTCCTTTGAATTATTTCTCACCAGGCTATAAATAGGGCTGCCGTACTCCCACCACTTTCTGCACTGGAAATGGATGCAGTCTAAGAACAAGGCTTAGTGGATCGGAGCTCTTTCCCAAGACGAAAGCAGTGGCTCAGGTTTTGATTGGTGCATGAACAGTTCAGTGGTTTTACGTATCGCTGATTGTGCCAAGGAAACTAGTGTGACGTGTGATTTTGCCCAGGAATGAGCACGTGCAAGTGTTTAGATGGTTCACATGGATGGTTTCTTGTAACTCTCATTCTGTCTGGCTGTTCGAGTTCATATTTTCCACATGTACCATCTATAGTGTCCCTTGTAGATGCAATTCATAAATGCGGCCAACAAAATTTCCTTTTATATCACAGACACAGGTCCCAAAGGCTTGAATTACCGCACAGAGATGCTGCCTCCAAGCTGCCATCTGTCTCTAAACGATCAACAAAGATGATCCTCCAAAAAGCTTTTGGCATGCCAGGCAAGCCTGATAACAGGGTAATAGATTTGTTATTAGGAATCACTCACAGCTTGTCATTTATAAAAACCACAGCGGTCTTCAGAGACCGATGTGTGGCATATCAGACGACAGAAATGGTATCTGTCTGTCTCTTTTAATGAGGAAAAGGGCACCTTTTAATTATTCATCTGGGATGTCAATGTATTCCTTAAAGGCGGTTATTCAGAGTGCAACCAGTGAATTATAAATGACTGAGAAGCAGTTTCCCCTCCCACGGAGGCTTAGTTTATTTGGTTGGTTAGCGCGCCGTTATCATTTGAGAGCTTTTATACCAGCTGGCATTTACCGTTTTGGCATTTGAGTTGAAGGTGATTTCTCTGTCTGCTGATGTTGTGTCTAATGGCCTCCTTTAATTCCAAGGAAACCACACTTGTGGGGTATCTCATACATTTTTTAGCGCCATGCTAATGGATGTTTGCTGTGCGTGGAGGGTGTGTAGAGCTGCTTAAGGACAGGAACCATAGTGGAAGTGGACTGAAACTGAGATTTGACTCGAGTCATTTTTCACTCAAGACTGAATAATTTGGCAGTGGTGTGGCAGGCTGTTTATGCTCACTTTGGTAATTCATGAATATTAAATCAGTTGTGACCATAGTGAAGTACCGTTCCTGCTGTTACACTGTCCCTGTCCTTCATAACGAAACTATAGTGCAAGGCAGAGTGCATTAATGTTGTTTCTCTAAGCACATGATAGAACATGTTATACTGGTAAATGAATATTATTATAAGTGATAAAGTAATAAACAAAACAGCACATTTTGTTGTTAACAAGTATAAGTTGGTAGAGTTATTGAAGTGGAATTCTACTGTATAAAAATATTCATGACAGTACCTCTTTTTTTTTTGACCCAGTTTTCTTCCCAGTTTAGTCAAGGCCGGTTCCCACTTTCTACCTCACACGATGCTACCATGCTGTGAGGGTGAATCCCAGCATGTGTTTGCATGTAAAGCCAGCTGCTGTATCTTTTTGAACTGTTGCTAACACGATGTCACTGGACATTGGACAGCTCAACACGCTTGGAGGAGAACACTACCTGACAGTTTGTTAATTCTGTTACATCAGCTAACAGACACCCATGTGGGCAGCATCGCAATGAGTGAAGGGGAGGAGGGAGGACCATTTTAGGAAACTTTCACAGCTACCTTGTTTGGTGTGGACTAACCTGTTCTGTCCACCCGTACAGGCGCTTGAGTGTGACTGCTGCACCAGGTGAAGGGGGAAATTCAAATAAGAAGCCCACTGTAGCTTTGTGGAGTTTCTTAAGTATTTGGCTTGTATGTGCCTCCCATATTTTCATGCCTCTGACCATCAGACAGTGTTGGAATTTGGAACAAATTACAGTCATTCATGCTATCAGTACCAGCTGGTCCACGGCTTGTTGTGTGGACACGGAGACCGTAGAGTGCTTGTATCCCTGCCAAATTTCTGACCAAACAAAGAACACAAAGAACACACATGTGTATTATTTGGTGCACTTCAACCATTGCAGTGTGCAACCATCCATAGCAGGTAATAAAGACAGAGTGGCACAAAAGCCCAAACTCTCGTGGGTACATTAGCAAAAACACTGGCTATGAAAACTCAGAGAGAGCGAGGCCGATAACATTTATTAAACCTCCAGCCACGGATGGCTGTGGCATCACCAGGGGTAGAATTGAAAATATTCAAATAATAGCCGCCCTTCTCCCCGCAAAAAGTATAACATTCTTAAGGGTACAACCCACACAGGACGCATGCCAGAGACAGTAACCACTCAGTATCTTTGTAATACTGTACTGCATTAAACCCAGACCACGAAATCCATAGTATGATGTGCAATAAAACACTGAAAAATGTGTCAATCTAAAGTCTTTTAGATCAACAGACAAACACTAATCATCTGTTTTCACCTCAGCTAATATTACTAGCCTGGTCACATCGTATTTTACGTCGAAAACATTGAGTTTGTGTAGAGTTAGTTAAACAGTATCAAATGTGATAAATACACAAAATAATATTGAAAATTTTATTCCATCAGGGATGGGATCTCGAGAACTGGTGCTAAATTGGTACCGATTCCTGACTGATCAGCACCGAAATATTGATAAGCTTCTGCACAAACAGTGCTGTTATCAATATTTATGTAACACTAATTCATTCTATGTAGCAGGCATTTTCAAATGGTTGGAGTGGATCAGTGGGAGGGGCAGTCCGCTCCATGTGATGAAGGCGTTCGTATGCCTCTGACTACCATAAACATTTCGAATGCCGTAATTTTGTGCTTTTTGGTCATGGCTAAATGGGGAAGATGTTCAAAAGTGTTGGCTCACTTTACTAAATTTAATGCTAATGCAGCTAAGTGCAATATATTTAAACCAGTAGTTGAGTGCAAAGGGGGGAACACCAGCAACCTCATGAAATGCTTACAATCTTAAAAGGTGCAGCAGTTTTTGTTCTAATGCCTGAGCCGCCAGCATATAACTGCTGCACCTTTTAAGATGGAATGGGAAAAACAAGAAACTGGCAGATAGGAAGCTGACTTCAGCTTCATAGTTTTAATTCTGGTAGCATTTTTGATAAGGTGATTGAAGCTATCAAAATGTCCTACCTGGAGTTTTATGTAGGGGACTACCTATAAATGTACACTACGGTAGGACATTTCTACAAGGAAGCATGATTCACCACAACACCAGGCACCAGCATTGAAGACATAGGTGCAGCAGCTGCTTTGCTAAAGCAAACACAGTGCACTGCTTGTAAGGATTTCACGAGGTTCCTGGTGTTACCCCCTTTAAGGTGGAACTTAAGGTGGAATGGGAAAATCTGAACAAGAAGCTGGCGGAAAGGAAACCAGTTTCAGCCTTGTGTTAAAACTACAGGTAGGACAGTTTGATGGTCTAAATGTCCTTATCAGAAAATGTTTCCAGCATTAAAAGAGTAATTTGTTTTTTTTGATATCTTAAATCAGCTTATCAGGGGGTTAGTAGTAATATTAAGCTGAGTCTGTTCTGAATTAAAATTCGGTAGCTAGTATAGCATAAATAGCTAATTGCTAGGTAGCCTAAGGTTGAGCTCAGTGTGAGCTGTCCTGACAACAAGGGGTAACTGATTTTGTATTGCTTATGGTTTTTGAATCTTTTCACATCCTTTTTTTAAACATTTTATGTCATATCTTTGTTTGTGCACCAAATTATGGAGAGTAGTATCAATAAGAGTATTGATATGTATTGGTGTCGATAAACAGTGTTGCTTTCGATATAGGTATTGATTAAATCCTAATGATACCCATCCCTCATAAAATCTATATGCGAGTGGAAAAGGATCTTCAGCTTGTTTATCAACACTTTTCTGTGAAGCATCCCATTTGCTATAACTGTGTTTTATACTATCTTCTACGCTGTGCCAGAGATCTTCTGGCACAAGTTGCACAGAGCTTCTTGTCTGGTGTGCCTTAGCTGGCTGCAGTAATCTGTCTATGCTTTCTTCTTTGGTGTTAACAGATAAGAAACTCTGACTGAAACATAACACACAGGCTCTATACTGCCCTCTGGTGGAGTGAAGCGTTCAGACATGTCATGGTTATTAAGTATGGGAATGTATAACATTAGAAAGAATCTAATTTACC